AATGACTTTATTTGTACAAATGAAAATGAACTATAAAGATTAATCAATACTTTTTATGATAATGCATTTTTACATCGTTAACATTAATAAACAACGTTTTGCATAAATAAAAAGATAATTAAAGAAAATTTCAGTCAATTAGAAGAAGAATAAAGCAATAATACCTGAAAGAACAATAAATATACTTGAGGCTCCATCAAGATTATTATGTTCATCAGTTTTATCATCCACTTTAGTTCCTGAATTATCAGAAGTATTTGTTGTTTTATTTTCTTTTTGTTCGTTCTTTTCATTAATTGGTTTTTCTTGGTTTTGTTCTTCTTCTTTCTTTTGTTCTTCTTCTTTCTTTTGTTCTTCTTCTTTCTTTTTTTCTTCTTCTTTCTTTTGTTCTTCTTCTTTGTTGCTACTTTCATTATTTTGTGGGTTTTCAGTTTCTTTCTTACTTTCTTCATTTGTTTTTTGTCCTTCTTTTCCACTTGACTCTCCTTCTTCATTAGTATCTTTTTTTTCTTCTTTGTCATTTTTATCTTTTGTTGTATCTTTATTTTCTTTTCCTTCATTTGTAGGTATATCATGCTTTTTCTCACTATCCCCTTCACCACTTTCTTTTGTTTTTTCTTGTTCTTTTTTTGCTTCTTCTTTTTTGCTATCATTACTATTTCCTTGTTCTTCTTCTTTTTCGTTACCAGTAACTTTTTCTTCCGTGTTACTCACTTCTTTTGGTTCTGCTTTTGGCGTGTTTGTTTCTCCATCATTCTGTTTCCCTCCATCTACATGTTTATCATCTTTTTCTTCACTATCCTCTGTTTTTTTTCCACTGCCTTGATTAGAATTTCCAGTTTCTTTTGCTTCTTGTAGTGGTTCTATTACTTCACCTTCACCTTTTAAATGTACTTTATATTCATTGTATATTCTTTTGTGCTGTTTTGGTTCTATTCGTGTATGTATTATTTCTTCATTTCTTTCTTCTGTATTATTAATACTTTCTGTTCCACTTGTAATTACAATAATCAATAGAAATATAAGCATTGAATGAAATGTATTTAAGTTATTCTCTTTAAATATTCTCTCTTCATTTCCTATTATTATCTTTTATTTTTTTTTATTTCATAATGACTCAATCATTTCATTCTTCATTTCATTATATTGTTGTATTGTTGTATTTTGAACTTCAATGATAAATAGAATGAAATGAATTATTAAATTAAAATTCATTTCATTTTTGTAAATCAATCAACAAAATTAAATAAATATTCAATTTAATAAATAAATCATAAACAATAAGAACAATAATGAATGAAATGAATAATAATTTCAATTCATAATTCAAATCATTCCTATTTTAAGAATATATTCATCATTATTCATATTATTTTCTTATTTTATTCGATTCATATTTCATTCTAATATTAACTTATTTCTATTATTTTCGTATTGATTTGATTATTCTTTATTTATGTATTTATTTTATCTTGTTTCTATCACTTGAATTGCCTTATTATATTAAAATATTATTATTTCTTCTTTATTCTCTTAATTTATTTCTTTATTGTTCACATTTCATTTCTTATAGAAAATAAAATAATAAACAATATAATTATGCCATTATTAATTTGAATAAATTGGAATCAAACATTATTTAAAAATAACATCATTATGTAACTTATTAATTCGTTTATATTTTATATGTTCATCTGTTTCATTAATTTATTTCTTTATTTTATCGTTTGATGATGTTGTTAATATATTTGTTATTCTATTACAGTATAAATCTTAAAATATTTTTTATTTGTTAGATATAATATATAACCAATTCAGTTAATGATTATAATTTTACTTATAACAAATCTTTTTGAATTGAAGAGAATTAGAAAAACAGTAAACAACTAGTAATGATTATTGAATAAATAAACAGTTTAGAAAATGTTAAATAATATTAGAAGATTGGATAATATGAAACTTTAATCAATTATAAACATCATAGTAATAATTAAACAATCAATGAAAATAATTCATACCAATAAATTAATTGAAGTTGAAACAATATAAGAATAAATAATGAATAATTTTAAAGATTACTAAAGAATAAAAAAGAAAATATGATGATGATGAGATTAAATCATAAATATGATAAGTTCAAATCATTAAACATAATATAAAAAGAAGAATAAGAAAGTAAATAAAGAAATAAAAGAAATAGAAAGACAATACAAATAAAGAATGATAAAAAGAAGAATTGAAAATATAATAGTGAAATATTTTAAATTAAGAAATAAAGAAAAAGAAATAAAGAAAAAGAAACGGGATATATAACAATAAAAAATCCAAAAATAAAAGAGAAGGAAAATAAAATCAAATAAACAAGAAGCGGCTGTAGTTTTACGTGTAAAACACTTATTTGTAATTTAATAAATATGAAATACTAAGTTAAATTAATAAGAGTCGTAGGATCGAAACCTGCCAGTCGCCAACATTTTTTTAAATTAATGAAAAAAAGATATTAATTACAATAAACATAAATAACAAATTTAAACAAAATAGTTTAATGATAGAACTAACTTCTAAATATTAGATTAATTAAATCAAATGTTAATAGGTTTATCTTCATAATTTCTACATTTTAACTCATTATTTATTAAATTGTTGGTTCTTGGTTCTTGTTGGTTGTTGGTTGTTATATTTTATATTTCATTTTATTCTTCTATTTCTTATTTATTTCATCATTATATCTTCTTATAAAATTATGTAATTCCTATTTCATTATTTATCATTACATTAATTCTTTTCTTTCTTGAATTTTAATCTAATTCTTTTTTATTTCTATTCTATTTCTTTATATTTCTATTTATTTCTCTATCTTATTTTAATTCTCTTTCATTGTTCTTTTAATTATCTTGAATATTCATTTAAATGTTTTGGATTAAAATGAAATCTTTCATCATTTCTATTAATTCTTCTATTTCATATTTCTATTTTAATACTATCATTTATATCATTAACATATATTGATGTCTTCATTATTTCTTTATATCTTATTTCTTTATTCTTTTCTTTTATATCTCATTGACAGTATTATTAAAACTGTGTTTAATAAAATTATGAATTTCTGTTTAATTAAATAATCCTGGTTTTGAAAGGCATTAACATTAGTAATTGTTCTTAAGAATACAACAAATGAGAAGAAACAGAAGAAATATAACTAATTTGAATGAATAGTTTACAAAAATCTTCATTTAATGGGATAATATTATTTAGATTTAATTTGTTAATTTATCAAATGAATCATATGGGGTACGAAAATTAGCAAAGAAAAAATGCATCTAAATAATTTACAAAAAAGAAAAAAGATGCAAAATAATTTGCATCCATAGATTTTTCCACTTTATTATATTTTGCTCCTAAAAAAAATAAAAAATAAAAAATATGATAAATACAGAATATATAAATATTTATGTTTATATTTTATTATCAATTGTATTCATTTTGTATGAAATATTAATGAAGTAGATTATTTGATTATTCATATTTAATTATTTTTATTATTCATATTCTTTTATTTATATTTTATTTATCTATCGTATTTTTATATTTATTTCTCTGTTTATATTATTTATATCTTTGTATTCTTCTTATTACCTATATATTCTTCTTATTTTATGTTTTTTATGTTTATATTATTTAGATTTTCTTCTTGTTATTCTTTTCTATTTAGATATATTTTATTATTTGAATATTCATCTTTATCATTTTTATATTATTATCATTTATATCTATTTTCAATTTATATTTATTCTCTTTTGTTTTATATTATTTTTATATTTTATATTTTGATTTTATTATTATATCATTGATTATTATTTCTATATTTATTTATCATTTATTCTTATTATTCTTTTGTTTTTTCTTTATTCAATCTATGTCATATATTCATATCATTTTCATTTTATATTTTATCACTTATTATATGTTATAATAACATAACACTTATGATTGAATATATAATAAACATCATAATGAAGTTATACATATAAATAATAAATATAAAAAATAATAAAATATTTTTATCAATAAAATAATATTAATTATTTTACATCATTAAATTATACACTTTTATTGAATATTTCTAATTTTTACATTAAAAATACACTTTTTATTTCTTCTTTTCTTCTTTTATTTTATCATCTCTTTTTGATTTACTCTTTATCTTCTTTCTTTTTATCTTCTTCTACTTCCTACTTTCTTTATCTTCTTTCATCATTTTCTTTTTATTCTTTTTATATCTTTCTTCTATTATTTATCAATTTTATATTCATTTATTCTTTTTATTTCTTTTTTATTAATTCTTGAGTATTGTATATTTCTTTATTATTTCATTTGTGTATTATCAAAATATATGTTTTATTGATTTTATGTTGAATAAAATATAGAATAATTCAATATTTTCAATGTCAAACATTCATTATTTATTGTGAAATGTTGCGTATATTTATTATATTAAATTAATGTGATGAATGAATATCAATATTATTGTTTATTTGATTTTAAAAAATAATAAATGAATATGAAATAATGAAATAAAATAATGAAATAGAATAATCTAATATTGAACAAATCAAATAAAGAATATATTGAATATATCATTATTGTTACATTAATATTTATTATTTCAATTATTAAATATTAATAAATTATTATTCATGAATATTTAATTGATATTTTACATTTTCATTTTATTTAATAAATGAAATATTAAATAATAAATGAATGAATAATAATGTAATATATGAAATAATAAAAAGAAAAGAAAGATAAATAATAAAGAAATATGATGTATTTAATATATAATATAATTTATTATCAAATATAATAATATCAAATGATGATTTATTTTTATTTCAAAATATTTTGCATCAATAAAAATGTTGCTAAATATTTTGCATCATTAAATTTTGCATCATTAAATTTTGCACTTTTTTTATTTGTTTCAATAAAATTTGCATCCTTTATTTTTTTTCTTTCTTTTCTTCTTTTATCATCTCTTTTGTTTTATTACACTTTATCTTCTTTCTTTTTATATTCTCTCCTTTCTACTTTTATTCTTTCTTCATCATATTCTACTTCTTACTTTCTTTTTATTCTTTTATATCATTCATTCTCTTCTTTTTCAATTATTTGCTTTTTTCGTTGCCAGTTGAAAACATGAAGAAATACTTTTAAGTCATTAACATAAAATGAAACATTGATTAAATTAATATTTATATGAATTAATTCACAGTTCCAAATTGTTGCATAGCAAGTGTATAATAAAATCCTTTCAAATCCATTAATTCTTGATGTGTTCCTTGTTCTACTATTTTTCCTCTCATAATAACACATATTTGATCTGCATTTTGAATAGTCGATAGTCTATGTGCAATAATAATTGCTGTTCTTCCTTTTGATGCTTTGTCAAGTGCTTCTTGTACAATCTTTTCACTTTGTGTATCAAGTGCTGATGTAGCTTCATCAAGTAATAACACTTTTGGATTTCTAATCAATGCACGTGCAATAGCAATTCTTTGTTTCTGTCCTCCTGAAATTTGTGCACCTCTATCTCCAATTATTGTGTCATATCCTTCTGCCATTGCTGAAATGAAGTCATGTGCATTTGCCATTTTAGCAGCAGCATAAATTTGTTCATTACTTACTTCAACTCCTTCAGACACTCCTCTTTTAATATTATCTATAACACTTCCTGAAAATAACACTGGTTCTTGTCCAACTATTCCTATTTGATTTCTTAACCATTTGATATTCAACTCTCTTATGTCTTTCCCATCTAATGTTACTCTTCCACCATTTGGTTCATAATTTCTTTGGATTAATTGAATAGTAGTTGACTTTCTACATCCTGATGCTCCAACTAATGCAATTGTTTTCCCTTTCTTAATTTCAAGGTCAATTCCTTTTAATACATGATGAGATGGTCTTGTTGGATAAACAAATTGAACATCATCAAATCTAATATTCCCATTACACTCAGTTGGACATTCACCTCCAATAGACTGACAATCAATATCTGGGATTCTATCAATTGTTGTAAATATTTTATAGGCTGATGCTTTTGCTGAAAATAACAAATTTAATGGTGTTGCAATCATTGATAATGTTTGTGATGCAGATAATACTGACATGAACACTGTTAATACATCTCCAGCAAATACACCTTTACTTCCTCCTTTTCCTCTAATGACTAATGAACCATACTAACTTCCAAGTGCATAAGATGCAATCATGAAAAATGTAATAACTGAAAATCCTAATCCAAGACATTGTCCTTTAATTCCATTAAAGTGTTCATTTTGTTTTATTTTTTCTTCATATTCTTCAATAAATTCATTTTTTTGATTTAATGATTGAACTGTTCTAATATTTCCTATTGTCTCTTCTGCAATAGCACCAGCTGCTCCAAACACATTTAATGCTTTTGTTTCATATTGCATTCCAATTATTTGGAATATTGTGAAAGAAAAGGATGAAAATGGAACAGTTGCCAACACAACTAATGCAAGATCCCAACATTTTGTAAATCCAATAACATACCCTGTAATAACCATTGAGATTATTTGAAAAATCATTCCAAATTTTGGACCAATTCCATCTTGATAATTTTTAATATCTGTTGCTATTCTTGCTGTCAATTCTCCTGATTCTTGAAAATCATACCATGTTGCGTCTTGTCTTAATAATGACTTGAAATATAATCTTCTCACTCTAATTCCTTCTCTTTGTGAAACTACAAACAATGAAAATGTTCTCAGAAAACTCAACACCATACTTATCACTCCAAAATATACCATCTTCACAACTACTTTATTCACTGACTCTTTTACTCCTTCAACAATCATGTGATTAACTTCTTCATCTATTATTGTATTATCACCTGGTGTATAAATATAACTATTAACCATGTCTCCCATCAAAAGCATCATGAGTAGTTGCATTACTCCATTTCCTAATGAACTTATGAGTCCAACTAGTATTAAAATCATGTCAGTCCAATCAGAACATTTGAAAAGTTTTATTACACTAACTTTTCCTTCTATATCTTGCAATTTTCTTCTTTGCAGAAATCTCATTAGGATCAGGTGTTACATTGAATATATTAAATGTGTCTACTGGTTCACTTGTCAAGTGAATGACTCACATATATTTTAAATAGAATTTATAAACATTGAACCATATTATTAGATATTATAATCTTCTTGTTATATTATTTTCTTCATTTTCTTTCTCATGTATTATTTAGTATTATGAATAATATTCTATAAACAAAATGGTTATTATAATTTATTATTTTCTATTCTATTATTCTCTTCTTCTTATTTTTTCTTTATTCTTTCTCTTTCATTCTTCATTTCTTCTACTCTCTTTACTCCATTCTCTTCTTTCTATTTCATTCATTTCTTTTATTCTTTTATTCTCTTATTCTTTATATTCATTTTATATCACTGTTATATATTCAATTGTTAGTGAATTGAAATTAATTAGAACATTATTAAAATATTGTTTCGTTCACTTAAAATTGGCACTTCATTTTATTTTGAACTAAATATCAATTTCAATACTTAAATTATATTTTATTTCTTCTTTCTTCATCATTTAATGTTGTGTTATTCATTATTCTTTTATTCATTTAATTTATTCACTTTTAATATCTGATTCATCTTCTTTGTTTTGTTCTTAATTCTTATTTATTTTTCTATTCTTTATCTCATTATCTCTATTTCTTTTATACACACCTTCTCTTTATTTTCTTTATAAATTCTGATCGTTATGTTTATCATAAATCTACCTCTTTAGTGTATATTATTCTTTCATTATTTATTAAGATTAAGAATGTTTGTTATTCGTTAATCGACTATTTAATCATTTGGTAGTTACTTTCCATTAATTCATAATCTGACAAATTCTTCAGAAATTGTTTATGAGTGTTTTGTTCATCTCATTATTTTATTCCATTAATTTATTTGTTTGATTACCAATTAAATCTTTCACATATTTTCATTCTTTTTGAACTACTCAAATAAATTTGATTCTGTGAATATATCTAAACTGTTTAACACATTTATTTCATCTCTTTATTCTTGTATCTTCTTGTTTGTTTTAATTTGATTTTTCTGTATTTCCATGCAGTTTTAGAATAAAAACATCAACATTACTTATTATGTCATTTCACCACTTCATTCAATTAAATCAATGAAATTCTTTTGTAAAGAAGATATACAAAAACATTCTCACCTCTTTTAATACTGACTTTGTTTCACTTCCTATAACTTATCTTTATTATTCTCTGTTTTTCTTTTAAACATTCGGTTGACTTATTATTTCAACAAAACTACTCTAATATTCTCTTCACTTTACTCATTTATTCTTCGTGTTGCTCATTTAAGTTTTTGTCTCCTCATCATTCATAATCTCATCACAATAATATTTCTATCCAATTCCATCTTTTGTTACTTTTCAACCTGACTTTTGTGTACTTCCAATCACTCAAGACATTGACTCATCATTAACAAGTCTATTCTTCCTTCCATAAAATGCGTTTGATTGTTGAATGAAGAGTATTTCTGAAGTGTTTCATAATATTTAAATATTGTTATTTGTTTTTGTCAAAGGTTTTATGTTTTTTATTGGTTCAACAATTGGATTATTTGCTTCTTAGCACATGTCTATTTCTTGAATGAATTAATATGAAACATTACCAATGATGATGAACATCATCATATGTGTTTTTACCAATGAAATAAACAACAACCATAAACACATAATGACTTTAACCAACAAAACATATCTTCTTCTTTCTTATTTCTATGTTCATCTTCATCCATTCACATCAAATTCTACAGTTTATTCAATTTCAACAATTCATCATATTCGATTTCTTTTGTTTTTATGTTTTAACTTAATAAGTTGATATTTGACATATTTAACACTGTCCTGTTCTTCTTTTTCTTGTTGTTGTTTTATTTTCTTTGGAATTTCAAACAACATGAAAAGAAGTGTATTTCATCTTCATGTTTAGAAGTGATTTAAGAAATGACAGAGATAAGAGTCAATACTAATATGTAATACTAATATGTAATACGGAGAATAATAAGTATAAAAATGAAGAGTTGTAATGAGAAAGGAGTTGATGAGTTTAGGATATTTAACATTTCTTTATTGAATGAAACAGAAATTAATAAGATGAAATGAAACACTCAAAAACAGACAAGCATAATTCTTTTATGAATGATTCAGTAAATCAAATTTACAAATATTCACAACAATATGACATGATGTAGACATTCATTATATTTACAAATAATAGAATTAGTATGATGAATATACAAATAATAAGAGAGATTTATACAACACAACAACATAAAATAATTCAGGATTTATTCAAAAGAAATTTAGATTTATGTATTGAATAAGTAGAGTATTAAATTTCATCAATAATAAAACACCTATCAAAATAACATAAATTAACACAAATGAATAAACAATTCATAAAAATCATAAATTCAATGAAGAAATATTTATTTTTATTTCATTTTGTTCAGAGAAATAAGTTATAAACCATTCACTCTATTAGAATTTTGTTTATGATATATTTTTATATTCATATTGTTTCATATTGTTTCATTCATATTTTATTATTTGATTCTTTCATCATTTGATTTTATTTATTCTCTTATGATTGTTATGAATTTTAATTTATTCTTTTGTATCATTTTATCTTGAGTAATTCTCTTCTTTCCAGTTTATTAGAAATTCTAATTTATCTTTTTATTATTTCTATTTCTTATGTCATTTCTTATTCTTCTAGACAATTATCTATTGTTTATTATTTATTCATTTTTATTATTTCTTTCTTGTTTCATTCCTTTGTTTATTTCTTCTTGTTCTATTCTTCTTTCATTTCTACTATTTTCATTTTTCATGAAGAGAAGTTTCATTTTGGGTTGTTTTTATTTCTTTGTTAATTCATTATTTATTTTATATTTTATTGAATGTATTATGTATCTATTCATTCATATTTCATATTCTTAATTGTACTTTCTTTTTTATTTATTCTTTTCTTCTATTTGTGTTGTTTATTATTTATTCATCTTATTTAATTTATTATTCTTCATTCTTTTAATTTGTAATTCTTATCATTTGTTGTTGTACTTTAATTGTTTATTCATCTCATTTAATTTCTTTTATTGATATATATCAAAAAGCTTGTTCTTTACATATTTTTTTATTGGTTATTCTTTTGTGTATTTTCTTTTTGTTATTTTATTTAGTTCTTCTTTTATCATTTCTCATTTCTTGTTTATTCATGTTTGTTGTATATTTTATTATTATTATTATTTATTTTATGTTGTGTTATTCTTATTTATATTTCTTATTATGTTTTGTTTATTATTGTT